GCTTCTATGCATTTACCTACTCCTTCACCATCCCTCTAACACCTTCTCACGAACCTTTTATCCTCCATCCACCAACCTTCCATCCTTTATCCATCCATCCATCCATCCATCCATCCATCCAACCAATTCACACATTTGTCCATCGGTCCTCTATCCATTGACCAACTGTCCACCCTTTATCCCTCTGCCCATCCACCCTCCCTTTGCGTATCCTCCAGCCATGTATCCTTTGTCCAGTCTTCGATGCCCCAGCCACTCCATCTTCCAACTGGTCCTCTCTGCTCATGCAGTCACTGAGCGCCCGTTCACCATCCAACCTCCACTCAGCCCCATCCTTGTGTCTATTTATCCTTAAGTCTATCTGTCCGGCATTTGCCTAAGGAAAACAAAGGAGAATGTGGATCCAAGTGAATACGGATGCCAAATAAAGTTGGCTTCAGCTTTCACCTCGAGGCAGGTTGCGCGTGGTGGCTGGGGAAAGGGGAAGGCGACGATGGGGTGGGCGGAGCACGTGTCCATTCTGGGATCCACACCTGGAGGAGCAGGTGGACTTGGGTACTAGGTAGCCCTGGAAGTGGCAGTGAAGATGTTTACCCAGAGAAGGAGACCTTAAGGAAACGACTCTGTCTGGCCAGGCTAACCTGGGGTTTTTGTCCAGTTAAATTTTGAACTCGGCTCACTGCCACTGGGTAGATTCTGGCCACAGCAACCCTGTAATTCTGTACAGGAGTAGAGCGTCGCGTCTCACTCCCCTGGTGTGGCTGGTGGTTCCAACCCGCTGACTGGTTGGCAGCTCGACACGTAACTCACTGTGCCAGCAGGGCTCCTCGGATTTAGAACGGGCTGCAGTCAGTCACCACTGTGGCAAAGTTTGTCAAGTGGTTCCCAGATGAGCTGGTGCTTCTCTGAGAGACAGTCACATGGCGGGTCTCAACCTGCCCCCCTCTGTGAGACCGGCACCCCTTCCTTTTCCTGTTCCCCCTCGGGAGTGAGTGTCCCCAAACCAGGCAAACAGAGAGGCAGGGATGCTTGGGGCCTCTGCTTCCTCCGTGGGAGGCTGAGGACCATGAGCCACTTCACGCTGGCCTGGTGCGTCTGAGCCTGGGAGGGGCGACCCCAGCAGGGCCCATGGTCATCCCCCTAGCTCTGAGGCCCTGCATGCGGGCAGACCTGACAAGGTGAGTGGGTTACAGACCTACTCATCGCTGTCACCCACTGATGACCAGCACTGACCTGGGACAGGGACGGAGCCCCCGCCTCCGGCTGAAGGGGCCTCTGGTCACTGCTCACACTTGGGGTGGAGGACCCGTTTCCTGAGAACCCTGAGCCAACACTCAGCAATGCCCGTCCTTCTCTCTGCAGGAAGGAGGTGCGGGACCTGGGACTGGTCGTTCTGGTGGACACGAGGAAGGGTCCGGTCACCCCTGCTCTCTCCCAGGCCCTCTTGTCCCTTCAGGTGAGGTGGGCTCCTGTCTGTGCAGGGCCCACAGGTACCCTGAGGATTAGCCTGGAAGCTGGTGGGCCAGAGCATTTCATTCAAACGGGAGAGAGATGTGAGGGAGCCAAGCACCAGCCAGCCCCCAGAGCTGGTCTTCCAGGGCCAGGCAGGGCCATCGGGCTAAGGAGCATCAGACTGTCTGTCTCTCCGTCCTCTGGTCCATCGGGGAGGCTGTGCTCTGGAGTGGCTGCAGAGCCTTACAGCCTGTCAGGACTACATGTGTGGGTGCTGCAAGCTCATAGTCTGTCAGAAAATCAGGGTACAGGGGCAAGCATGCCCCCCAAAGGCTGAGGCCTGGACAAGGGGGCTGGACTCATTGTGGGGGAGGAGGCCCTGGACCACTCAGCTGGCAGCTGCATCCAGCTCCCAGGGCCCACGTGGGGCCCTCTGGCTCCCCTGATGCGTGTGCACAGCCCCCTGGGGCCAGCCTATGCTGGGGTCTGGGTGTGTGGGCCTGGGCTTCCCTGTGGAAGCTTTGTGGGGCCAGGATTCACCTCCTGCCTTGGAAGCCCACCACTCATCTTTCCTCCTCCCACTGAGGCTAACGGCCACTTCTTCGCCCCGTCTCTGCTGCGCACGCAGGCAGGACCTTCGTGCTGAGAGTCACCAAGCAGGATATGGGGCGAGGAGAGATCGTGCAGTAGCATGGAATGAAGGGCATCCCTTGGCTGGGGCTGTGTGTGTTGTGGGGTTGTTGGTGTGATTCTCTGCAACTGAAATCCGGGAGAGGTGACTTTATAGAGACAGCTGGGATAATCGTTTCTTGAGGATATGGCACAGGGAGGCTGCGGGGCAAGGGTGCTAAGAGCAAGCAGAGTAAAAACGAAGAAAACAATCTAAAGCTGACTGTGCCGACAACACACATTGTACACATCTCGTTGAGCTGTTGAATTGTGTGGTGTGTGAGTTTCGTGTTAATAAACCTTTAATAAAGAACATCAAAGGATAACATTTTCCTGCGGGGGAAAAATTACAGAGCTAATCAGTAACCTTTCTTATTTCAGAATACCACTCCTCCCATAATTCATAGCATTTTGCTGCTGGTGGACAAAGAATCGGTGATTAAGCCTGACAAGGAGGCCGCCCTGCAGGTAAAGGAGGGCCTCGGCATCTGGGTGAAAGGTGTATCCGATACCGTGGGTGAGGGCGCACATCTGGGTGAAAGGTGTATCCGATAC